CTCTTTATTGCCCCCATGCCCCCATTTTACCCAGAAGATGTTAATCTATGTGTCCCTCTTATGGTTCTCTTTGTTACCTAGCTTCTTTGGAGCTGTGGATTACAGTAGGGTTATTCCTTGCTTTAGATCTAACATCCACTTATGAGTGAATATGTGTTGTGTTTGCCTCTCTGAGTCTGGGTTCCCTCACTCAGGATGGTTTTATATCTAGTTTCATCCATTTGCCTGCACATTTCATGATGTCATTGTTTCTTACAGTTGAGTAATACTCGATTGTGTAAATGTACCACAATTTCTTTATCCATTCATCAGTTGAGGGGCCTATAAGTTATTTCTAGTTTCTGGCTATTACAAATAGTGCTGCTATGAACATTGTTGAGTGAGTGTCCTTATGGTGTGACTGAGTATTCTTTGGGTATATGCATAAGAGTGGTATCGCTGAGTTTTGACATAGATTGATTCCCAAATTTCTTAGAAACTGACATACTGCTGTACAAAGTGGCCATACAAGTTTGCATTCCCACCAGCAGTGAAGGAGTGTTCCTTTGACTCCACATCTTCTCCAACATAAGTTGTCCTCAGTATTTTTTATCTTAGCCATTCTGGCAGGTATAAGATATTATCTCAGACTGGTTTGATTTTGCATTTCCATGCTGATTAAGGATACTGAGCAATTCCTTAAAGGTCTTTCAGCCATTTGAGATTCTTTTGATGAGATTCTCTTTAACTGTGTGCCCCATTTTTAACTGGATTACTTTGCATTTTGATGTCTAGTTTCTTGAGTTCTTTATGTATTTTGGAGATCAGTCCTCTGTCAGATGTGGGGTTGATGAAGATCTTTTCCCATTCTGTAGATTGTCATTTTTCTTATTGATAGTGTCCTTTTCCTTACAGAAGCTTCTCAATTTCAGGAGGTCCTATTTATTGATTGTTGCTCTCAGTATATATGCTACTGGTGTTAGATTTAGGAAGTGGTCTCCTGTGCCACTTTCTTGTCTATCAGGTTCAATGTAGCTGGATTGTTTTTACTGCTGACTTTAGTCATTTATTTAAAAAATTATGCCTTTTTTATTTTTACATTTTAATTAGAAACAAGGTTCCTTCACATGTCAATCCCAGGTCCCTCTCCCTCTCCCTCCTCCCACTCCTTTCCCCAAGGAGGGTGAGGTCCTTCATGGGGGGTAGCCATAGTCTGCCATTTCATCCAGGGAAGGGCCTAGGCCCTCCCCCCCAAGAGTCCAGCCTGAGAGAGCATCTCTCATTGTGGGATGGGCACCCAAAGTCCATTTCTATGCCAGGGATAAATACTGATCTATTACCCAAGGCCCCATAGATTACCTAGGTCTCCTCACTGACACCCATATTCAGGGGGTCTAGGTGAGTCACATGCTTGATTCCCAACCATTAGTCTGGGGTTCAAGAGCTCTCCCTTGTTCAGGTCAGCTGTTTCTGTGGGTTAAACAAGCCCATTCTTGACCCCTATGCTTATCAGTCCTCCCTCTCTGTCTCTGGGCTCCTTGAATTCAGCTCAGGGTTTAGCTGTGGCTGGATTTATGTTGAGATCCTTGATCCATTTGTACTTGAGTTTTGTGAATGGCAATAGATATGAATCTGTTTGCAATCTTCTACATGTTATGCCAGCACCATTTGTTAAAGACGCATTTCTTTTTCCATTGTACCATTTTGGCATCTTTTGTCAACAATCAGGTGTTCATAGGTGTGTCACTAATGTCAGGGTCTTTGATTCAATTCTATTGATCCACCTATCTGTTTTTATGCCAATACCAAGCTGTTTTCATTACTATAGCTCTATAGTAGAGTTTGAAGTCACAGATGGTGATAACTCTGGAAGTTCATTTCTTGTACAGGATTGTTTTAGTTATTCTGGGTTTTATGTTTTTCCATATTCAGTTGCTGTTGTTTTATCTCCACTTTTAAAGATATCATAGGAATAGCTGAATGTCATTGACAGTTCAAACTCATTTTATGAAGTTTAACAGATTCTTACTGTTCCCATAGTTTGAAAGTTTAAAATAGCTTCTAGTTTGGGTAAAGGAAAAGGGTAGTTTGAAATTTTCTTTGTGAATCATATAAAAGATACTACGGGAAACATGAGTTTATGAAAAAAATGTCAGAATTATGGACTGCAACTTAACATAGGATGTATGTATGTATAGAACATGTGTGTATGAAGTTGCCCCTATGAGGGGATAGATGGTCCATCAAACAAGGCTGTACCAGGTAATGAACCAGACTCAAAGAGGAAAGGCAGATCAGTAGCTTCATTCTGCAAAGGAAGCTACAGTTCAAATGCTTCACTATCATAAGCATATGTGGGGACACTTCCATCTATGCAGAGCCTTCTCCATAACGGCCAGTGGCTCCTTAAAGCTTTGAATTAAACATGCTTCATGAGATTGGAGATTGTTGTCTGTCTGTCTATACATTTACCTAGAAGACATTAATGCCCAAGAGAAAGGGAAATTTCCTTGGTAGTAGCTTGTAACACAGTGAGGGCAGAGAGCTGCCCAAAGGATGGGAGAGAGTAAGGCTTCAGAAGCCGGCACAATTACTACAGGCTGCCCCCACTGCAGGTGTTCTTTACTATCATGGCTCCATAAGGAAAAAGAAAGTGTGACAACATGCTCAGTGAAAGGGTTGTCGAGAGAGACAGCATCCTTCCCCTCAGAGAAAAGGTCAGATGGTGTCCGTTCACAGTGATTCAGGGCCTTCATATGGAAATGTGAGGCGGGCTTTAAAGGAGAAACATTGGCTTTGGCGATGAATGTGAATAAATTGTTTCTGTTAAACACCAGCTGAAGGGAACCACATATTACAGGTTTTTGATACACAGCAGCAAACCCCTATTTTTGTTTCACATTGAAGGAACTCCATATTCCATTTTTTAATACTCACCAGCCAGGATAAATTCTTCTGCACATGACATAAAAACCATACCATTCTCCATGCCTGTTGTAGAGCACTGATACTCACAAGAAAAATAAGTAGACATTTACATCATTATGCTGAACTTGTGGAAGATTTATGTCTGTCTTATTATCTCATGCTGTCTTGTGCATAGATAGAAGGCTTAATGAACTTTGACCTCTGATGCATTCTTTTATGCCCAAAGGATGCCTGATGTAGACATCATATTTGCATTGGTCTGTTCCACATGAAATAAAATCATTAAGCATGTCAAATTTACCCCTGAAATTTTTCTTGAATTCATGATATAGAGGAGCAAATATGATTTTTGGCTATATGACTTTGTCCATTGATTTAATTCAAAGCAACACTAAAGCAACATTGAAATCTAAGGAAGGGAAAGAGTGAGGTAAAGGCAGTATGCAATGGGGCAGGAAAGATGACTCAGCAGTTAAGAGCAAGGGGTACTCTTCCATAGGACCAGGGTTGGGTTTCTGTACCCACAAGGCAGCTCAAAACCATCTGTAACTCTAGTTGAAGAGGATGTGATGCCCTCTTGTGGCCTCTTTGTATACTGCATGCATGTAGTGTACAGACAAGCATACAGGAAAAATATCCATACACAATACATAAAAAATAAATAAACATTTAAATTTTAAAAAGTGTGAAGAAAAATATAAATGCCATTTGGGTGTGTATGCCACTAAATTTTAAGCTAGAAATCTAATCCCTGTAGTTAACACAGAAAGCATGGAGAATTTTAATGTGTTCCTACTTTTCTGCATCTTAGTATTTCTCTTGTGAGACACTTATAAAAATTGTTTGGCTTCCTTATCACTATGATTGAAAATTATGGTAGACATAAGAGATGGCGGGTGAGACAGTTGGTGGCTGCGTGTTTCTTGTTGCTGTTCTTTGGGAAATTTACTTATCTTTTATGCATGTTGGTGTTGGCCTGCATATATGCATGTGAACTGTGTGCATGACTGGCACCCTTGCAGCTAGAAGAAAGAATTGCATCCCCTAGAGTTGGAGCTACAGAATCCAATTGTTAGACATCATGTGGGTGCTGGGAACTGAACTCCAGGCTTTCAGCAAGAGCAGGAAGCGCCCTTAATCATTGAGTCCTATTTCAAGGCCCTTATTTTGAGTTCTTTGAATGGGACAAATCCAAGTGGATTTGTGAGGAACTAACACAGTGAGAAGCCACAGAGACAATGGATGTTTGTTTTCCACTGTTTTATAAAGTCTCATTATCAAAAAATGTTATGTGTATGTGCATATATATTAATTGTTGGTGTCTGAATATATATGCATAATATATATATATGTTATATATATATATATATATATATATATATATTACAACCCAAAAAAGACAGTTTCATCTGAGATTTGGCTAGTGTAGTTCTTCTACAGTTCATCAAACAAATGAAAGGGAAACCACAGCCCAAACCCACCTCGCCTTTGCTGCAAAGGAATGAACTCATCTTTATCATTCCTCTTGATTTGCACTTTACAACTTCGCTTCTGTGCTTGCAGTTCATTTTTTTTCTTTTGCCAGGGATTTGAAATTCTTCACAGCCCTAGGCTAAGGGATAAACTTAATGCTGGCTGGATAAACTGGCCTTTCTGAAAAGAATGTGTTAGTCATTCTGAAGACTACTCAGCTCCTTGTCCTCCTAACTGGCAAGAAATAGCATGAGGTGCCTAATCTACAAAAAGTAGTGAGTTGAAATCCCTCAAAATTCAAGAGTAAGTCTCCCACATAGCAAGCTTCGGGCCAGGAAGAGCTACATAGCAAAACGCAGTCTCAGACAGGGTGACACAAAACAAAAGTGTTCCCATTCCTTGTTTCTTTAATTAGATGAGGTGAATTTGCACAGGGCAGTGACATCATTATATTTACATTATTTTTACTATACTGTTTTCTTGAAATGTCTTTCCTATCCAGTCTGAGAACATAGTAGACCCACTGTGCTGTAGAGAATATTAAAACCCGCAGACAGATATAGCATCAGGAAAGGGCTATTTGGCAAAGTACAAATACAGTTGTTCCTGTTTTCCCACAGCCTCCATAGTGATTGGGAAATGGTGGTGTGAGATGGAACCCTGCCTAGAAGGAGAAGAATGTAAGACACTCCCTGACAATTCTGGATGGATGTGTGCCACAGGCAACAAAATTAAGACCACAAGAGTAAGTCCACGTCAAACTTTGCCTTCACGTTTCAAACTGTGCTACTTGCTTTGCTCTTGCATTAGCAGCAGTCAAAGGGCTTTGAATGGGACAAGAGGAGAGATTTCCTTTAATGGGACAAGAGGAGAGATTTCCTTTAACAGGACATGGCATATTCTGGACTAGGTGGGCCAGTGTCCCCCATGAATTAGAAGCTAACGTTAGAACCTGGCCTTTTTGCATGGTACAGTTCTTTATTTATGTTAAAGAGTTGCAAATAAAGCAAGTGGGGGACAACCATAGGGCAGTTATTCGGGGAGTGCATCTTCCAACCTTGGTGCTCAGAATGTTAGACACATGCCTTGCTTGATTCATCCAGGTAGTATGCTGAAAAAGACTATGTTTAAGTACAATCATGTTTAAAGGAATTTTAACGACATCTCAGAAAAGCACAAAGAGATTTGTAAAGTCAGTCATTATTCCTTGATTTCTCTGGTTAAACCAGGAGCTTCCTAAAATGTATGAAGTCTGTAGGTGATGTTGCCTTACCCATTAGGATTGGTGCTACAGTGCTATGCCAGCCAGGGTGGGGTGATGTTCTGGGACAACCATTAACCAAACAGGGGCTGCAATGTGTGTGACACCTTAAGAAGAGAAGGTGGGTGGAGTTCTGAATGCTCAAGAGAGATTATTTATCCACTAGTACAAAGGAATTAATATATTTAACAGCTAGCATTATCCTATGCTGTGTACCACCCAACTGTCAGCGTATCAGCCTGGGAGAGTGTTAGAGTGTACGTGTGTGTGTGTGTGTGTGTGTGTGTGTGTGTGTGTGTGCGCGTGCGCGCGCGTGCATGTACTTGTATCTGTGCATGTATCTGTGCATGTGTGTGTGTGTGTGTGCGTGTGTGTGTGTGTGTCTTTATTTCTTGGCACTTTATAGGTGATCTTTACAAGTTGTGAAGTACTCATGATAAACATTTACTCTAACAAAAGGTGACTAATTTTTTAAATTCTAGCCACTACATCATAAACCTTGATATGATCTTTCTTCTCAATGTCATACTGTCAATTAGTAAAAGTAATCTTCACAGTTATGTGATACAGAATTCAGAAATAAAGTTACATAATACTGTATGAAAACACTCAGGTTATCACATACAAAATAAAGGTGTATCAAATATAGTTATTCTTGTGGACTAAGGGCCATTAAATGGCCATAATTCCCTGACCAGTGGTCAAGAGAGATTTCTGAACCACCTTAGCTTATTAATATGCATTCTCATGTCTCTGAATACCTCAGCATAGATTTTTTTTGCCTCATTGCAATTAAACACTTACATAAGGAAGCATCAAGAAGTAAGGCTGCCTTGTGTTACTTGCCCTCAAAAGAAATTGTTTAATTAGCTGATGGAGGAGGCCAGATTTGGCTATCATTATGCATTATCTGAAAGATACTTGGACAAACGAGAACACTTGAAGCTACTCTGGATTAGAGTTAAAGTCCAATCAATTATGTTTTGAACACATCACTTTGGTGTCTTATGCCAAAGTCTATTTATCTTCAACTGGTGACTGATGTCCTCTGTGGAAAGTTCCCCATTGCTCTGACTGTGGCTTAGAATCCAAAACTCATTAATGAAAACTAATCCAAATCAAACTATTTCAGTATTGAAATATAGAAAATTCCAAAGACATTAACTCAGAGAATCTTTGGAAGATAGACTACTTTAAACTCAAGATAAAAATGAAACAAATTAAAATATAAACATCCCAGAAATAGTTCATGCTACTTTTTTGAGAACTATCCAACTGTTATTCAGATTTGGTCTTTATTTTATTTTGGAGTTTATTTTAATCATCAGGCATATTATTACACACCCCTAGATACTTTCCACCTTGAAGGAGGCTTATGTAGAACCTGACCGTTGTAACTGAGGATGTAGTGGCTGTTTACCCTATCCAGTGTGCACCTAGGTCAACCCAGGCAACTGAAGATATAAAAGAAATAAGCCATGGCTGATATTGCTTTGAAAGTTGAGGGTATATGTGATCTGCCGTGTGAACAGCTGAGAATTCTCAAGTCTACTTTCAGAGTGGGGAAAGAGGACACCAGGTAACACTATGCTTTATAAACACTAAGAGGATTCAAACATCACTCTCACCTTTTCTCTGCTAGATTCCCAAGAACTTCCAGATGTAAAAAACACTTTTAAACAGGAAACACAACCGTTGAGCTCAGACATTCATCCAAGAGGCCACATTCTAGCAGGTGGTAGACTAACAGCAGCTCTTAGATAATATTCTCCTGTGTGTTTTTTCCCATAAGAATACATATATGCCTAACTATTTCAAATATTGACTCAAGCAATTTTACCTTTTAAAATGGTTAATTCACAGAGGGACTTCAATCATTGAGTCCAATTTTTATTGTTATCTAAGAAGTAAGAAAAATAAAAGAAACCATTTATTTTATTCTTCTATAAGACTGGTTTAAAAAGAACACTATGCATTCATTATGCAAAATTTTCTTCATTTAAGTCCTAACAGGTCCTTTACTGTTCTCCTGATTTTGGAGACAATGTATGTGATTATAGTCTAGGTTCTCAGTTAATATCTCATGGAATAAGGACAATGCTTCTTCTTTCTGTCAGTACTGACAAGTACTTACTCAGTCAACGTTTTATTTATTTTTTATAAAGCATTGCAGTGTGAATTGAAAATAAAAATTCTCCATATTAAGGTAAAAGAACACTGCCCACAGTTTTAAAAAAAGAGAGTTAAAAGATACTCTAAACTATTAACTGTTAAAATGGGAAGTGAGCACTTCTTTCAAGCTGTTAGTTTAAATATTAACTCTAGGGCCAGGGAGATGGTGCAGTTGCTGAAGTGATTGCTGTGCAAGTATATGGAGCTAAATCAGATTCCCATGCACCACATAAAAAGCTGTGATGGCACATGCCTGTACCCTGCTGGCCAATTATTCTTACCAAATCTATGAGCTCTGGATTTAATGAATGACCCAGTCTCAGAAAACATAGTGCAGGGTATTAGTGGAAGACATGAACTTCTGGCTTCCATGCAGACACCCTAGAAAACATGTATGCACACACAACCACACATAAGCAAATAAATACCAGTGTAAAGGTCTTTGCTAGAAAGTTCTGAGGGACTTGATATTTTCCCCCCTGGGAAATAAAAAGCCACACAAAATCTTCCAGTGGGAGAAAAAAACTCATCAGAAAGCCTCTGGAATACTAATAAGATTTTCCACTGTGTGATCTACATTAAAGATTTCCAGTATTCATTTTGAAAAGAGGACTGGAGAGTAGAAATCCCATGTGTCATCTAAACTACAACCAGAATGGACAAGCCTTAATAGTAAGTCACAGTGAAAAAGACTCTTGGTAATCATGGTTCTTATTGACAGTATAAACAAAAGAGGTAGAAAAAAAGAGGTGAAATCAGGCAAAGCATTTTCTATCGAGTAATTTGGAGTGATGAATCTTAAGAAGACTGAAGATCCCTGGAAGTCACAATATAGAAAAGAAGTACTCATATTTGAAAATTTGTCAAAGATACATTGTGAATCTAGGAAGAAGCAAAGCTTCATGACTGAACATTATCCCTGTCCCATCTTGATCATTGGTCGAGCTACGTGATTAAATTGTTTTATTGTTGTAAAATACAAAAACTAGACTAAATATTATCTAAAATCTTTTTCTGTGTTTTCATATATTTCTTAACACTTCTTTTATTTAAAATAATATATCAGATAAAGACTAGGAATGTTGGTGAGACTGTACCCATGTACCTTGCAAAGGCGGCATAATGACTTCATTTAAAAGAGCAGAATTCCCCACAAAGGAAACAAGTTATTTGACAATTACATACTAACTACATCTGGAAATAGAATGTCAAGCATTTTGAAGATATTAAAGGGAAAGGGACAAAATTCAGAGAAAATTATAGTCTATTGGAAAGAAAAACAAAGGATGAAGATTGCAAAAACATAGTCTGATTGATTTCCTTGGGAAAAAATCGATCAACTGTGGATTTTCTTCAAACCAGTGGGGGGAAAAGCAACAATTAATATGTCTTGTAAAGTTGAGGGGATTTTTCACTTAGGAGAGGAGTTATTGGTCTTTAAATTACACAACAAAGAATAATAGCCAAATTGTTTAGTCATTCTGTGACTAACCAAAACAAACCCATGCTCTCTTGGTATCTTCCTATGATGGTAATTTTGAATTTGGCAATATATGCCGATTCTAATTATCCCAACTTTTTTTTATATTTAAGAAAGAGTGGGATACCAGTTTTGACACATTCCGGCTTCTTCACTAAAATTCTACCAGGTCTAAAGTGTTTTGAGAGACTATGGCATTACACTTGTGATTTCCACTCAATAGTTGAAATATAGAAAAAGAGAGAGAGGAAGACACCACCACCAATGAAGTAATATCAAATTGTCTAAGTGAGAAAGCAGTTGAAAGAAAAGGGAGAGGTGTAAATATGGAGCTGGACAAGAGAATTGCAGGAAGGGAAATGAACCATTTGACAGAGTGACAGTTGCCCAGAAGCAATAAACTCAATCATTATTTTAGTCAGGAAGTAGGTAAACCTGTGCTGTCCAATTTGAATGGATTAGTGTCTCCAGAATTTAATGGCAACAAGGCAGAGTCCCCGATCTTCCAATGTTGGGGTATGGAAGAAAGATAGAGATGACAGAAAGGCAATTTCAAATCAGTGTGGCGAATGTTACTTTATCCCATTTGTGATGGAAAAGAAGACACAGTCAACAAAAGGTTATGTCCACTATTGTAATAAAGGAAAGAATAGCTTAAAATATCTTTTTATTTGTAAGCAAAAAATTTAAAATACATTTATGGAAAATCCCCATACAATTCTGCTCCTGGACCAAGCTTTATCTGAGTGCAAATTTTTATCTGACTCTGAAAGATTTGAGTTGACTTGTACTCCTGAACTCAGAGGGATCATTTTCCAAAGTTATAAAGAATTAACAGGGCTTGGAATGTACTTCTGTGATACCCTGGTATGGTTTGGACCCAACATCACAAGAAATTGAGATGATAAAGAATGATAACTTATTTTCCCAAGCTGGCATCTCCCTGCTAGACTGCTTATTCATGTTCTCAGCCAGTGATTCCTTAAGCATGCATATGTCCTTAATATTTGAGTCTTTGGGTTCTTGCTGAGATGGATTAAATGGCATGTATAGATCCAGTTTAAGTGGCATCTTCTTGATTCCAGTTAACACTCATAATTGGATGTAATAGTTCTTCATTTTATAAAGGCCTTCCTCTGTTCCTTCACATATATTAACTAATCTAGGCAATGACTTTACCAATGGCCACTCCTCAGTGGCTTGTAACAGGACAACTACAAAAGGCCATGAGATGATTAGTTCAACTTCTCACCATGGGACAGAGATTGATTACATAATTTGCATGACCCTGTGCAACAAGAAAATGCAAACTCCTCATTAAAATTTTATTAAGAAATTTAAGACAGCAGCAACGAGGAAATAAATCAACTGTGGGACCCTTATTAGTGCGTAACCTATGGAATTGGATAGAGTTGATACACATGAAGTCATTTCTAAATAGACATTTCTCTAAGAATCTTTCTCCTCAGATTTGACACAGAGGAGCCTAATGGATTTATGGAAATATGGAGGATCTGTCCATGTGCTTTGAGCTTCAGTTGAGAACCACCTGAATAAATCAACACAATAAATTAAAGGCATCCCTATGTTCTGCATAAACACATTTCTTTATGCCTTTATTTTTTCTTTTCTTACTGAAATTTCTTTCTTTCTTTCTTTGGTTTCAGATTCACCCAAGAACCTAACAGAAGCATTCATTTTATAAATAGGAAAAACAACCTGTGGAAAATATATTGTGAGGATTTGAAATATCTTACATACTTGCAAGCCAAATGGATCTCTTATTTGCACTTTGGCTGGTTACCAGATAATCACAGTGCGTTTACCCTGTGAAACAAAGAGTCTCATAAGAAGAATCGGGATTCCCTGGCAACATCATGGAAAAATGGCTTTACAAAATGAGTCTTCTCAGTGAAACTTGGAAGATCATGAAGAACGATCAACTGTCTTCTAACTTGGAACTACTGTTACTTTGTACCATTTGAAATATATGTATATATAATATTTTGAAATATTATATATTCTCTTCAAGAAATGAACAGTACCATGGTGTGAGGTGGCTGGTGTATCCCTTTCAGTTTTGGATGTTTGGTCGGTTTTGTTTTGTTTGCCATTTCTTTTTCTCTCGGTGAGGAAGATACATCCCTGTGTGAGAATCCAACATGGCACTCTCCCTGGAAAGCCAGCTGCAGGTGGACTCCTGGAATCTGAGGCATCCTAACAATACTGAGTCAAGAGCTTCCCTCTGTTTCTACCTGGTGACCCAAGGAAGCTCATCGTCTTGTTTTATTGCTTTCTACCCTGTGCAATATTAGCATGCAAGCTTGGCTTACATAACCATACTTTATATTCAATGATATATAATAACCATTCTAACCTCTTCCAGGAAAATATTTTTAGAACTCCTAGCTTTTCCACAGATAAGCAAATGAGGATTCTTGAGGGAGCTGCCCCTCCACACTTTAAGACTCTGGCAGGGTGGTAGGCTGTAGATCCCTATATTAATAAGTCCTGTAAATACAATGTCTTAGGGCTTTGTGTAGCTGTCATAGACTGCAGACGTGTTCTCTGATTAAATCCAAAGTCTGGCATTGTTAACTACGTAGTGCTGTAGTGATGAGTCTCATCATGGCATCTCTTTCTATGTTTGATTTTCTTTTTCCTAGAGTATTCGAATCTCCTCTGGTGAGATAGGAAGGCTATGAAAGCAATTAGGTTTCCCAATGATCTATGTGACCAAATGTTGGACAGCTCTATTAAAGTGGTAAATAGCTTCTTTCTTAACCCACTTGTCCTCTGTGTCTGCCATTTAGTTTTACAGACTATGCTTTAATCAAACCACAAGAACACCCTGTTCATATCTGTAGTTAGGAAGAAGGTCTGTGACACTATGGACACTACTATTTCCAACAATAATCTTTTGAAAAGTAGGAATTCAATAACATGACAATTACAAAGCTTCCTGTAGGTCATTCTGATAATATACATAGGGCTCACCCACGCACCCTACCAGAAAAGTAATTTTCCTTGTCCTTTTGGAGTTACTAAGCTAAGAGTAAACATCTACTTAAGGTCTAGTTTTCCTGAGGAAAGTTTAAATGGAACGTTATCCTCTTGTTAACATGTCATCTAAGAAGAGCAGATGTTGTGTTTTGTTTTCTTTCAAACTATTCTCTGGCATCTGTGTTGTTTGTGCCTCTTCTAAGTCAACAGCATTGTGGTCCCTGAATTTGAACATATTAGTATCAAACCTGAAGTAAAATTTTAAAAACCTGTAACTCTACCCAGACAGCCAGAAATTTTGATTCTATATCTTGAAGGCCTGTAAACATCATCTAGGAGTAGAAATAGAATCTTGATTGTAAAATCGAGACTTCCAAACAAGTCTGTGGATATTTGCTAAAAATTCACACTAGTGCCCAGGTATAGTGGCAAGTGATTGATAGCCATTCCTTGAGATTCCAGCACTTGAAAGATGGAAATGGGAGGATTGTGAGTTCAAAGTTAGCCTGGAATACAGATTAGACTCCTGCCCCAAAATGAAAGAAAAAAAGTCATTCCAGAAGTCCTTCCTGAGTTTTACAATACAGATTCAAGTGCCAAACAATACACTCTTTAAAACAAAACTACTTTCCACCTGTCAACTTTGGATTAAAATTACAACCATAAACCCTGAGAATTATATATTTAAGGAAAAAACTAAAATAGAAATGTTTGTCAAAATAGAAATGTTTGGCAGAGAATTTGGCAGCACCTTTAACACAACAAAAGACAGCACAGAACAGGAAAGTCAAGTTTGAAACAAAAATAAATAAATAAATCAGGATTCAGACATGTTGGGGACATCACTTTGCTAAACTGGATGTGAAATGGGAGCCTACAAAAACTCACTTCTAGGCAAATCTACCAAAACCATATTATCATATCTTCAGTTGTTTAGGAAACAAGAAAATCTAGGGTTTTGCCTAAAACTAAATAAATCAACTTCACTTAATTGGCTGCAAATGTTATTGTAGTGTCACATTCTGCAAAGGGTGAACTTAGCTCTGATGTTAGAGTCCCGTGGACTCTTCTTCTACTAGCTTTGATCAGATGAAAATCCAATGAGAAGAATGCAGGCTCTTCAATTTGCAAAACCTTTCTTTGTAAGACAATTCTGCTAACACACACAATATGTGAAGCTCCAGGAACTCTAACTCAATGTAAGAGCTAGCCCTGAGGGCTACATCCATTAGCTCAATGCTATCCATGGATCCATGCAGTAGCCTCCCTTAAAGAGACCTAGAGAAAGAAACCACATCAGAATCAGGCAGCCATCCAATAAGACAGTGCAAATATTTGTAAATGTCAAATTCAATTTGGATTCATCCAAGCCCCTTACACAAATGTGTGAACCATCAAATTGTGTTTAAATTTAACTTGTTTAAATTTGGGAAATTCAGTCGCTACCATCTGCCTACTGAGCCTGCACATTTATGGTGCACAAAATTTTATCGCATGAATATGGTAATAAAGGGATCAGTGTGTATGACTAATATCAATTTTAAGCTTGTGCCCCACGTACCATGAAAAATGTGGTAACATAATTGGAATATACATACAAAGTTCCAGTCAGAATTCTGGTCTTGATAAAATTGAAAGTGAAGCTTGTTCAGAGATTTTTGAAGTGAGTCAAGTTTATTTGTTGATATTTTGGGGTGCTTGGATTTACCTATTCATTGGGAAGTTGACTGAATACTCAGCATTTTCCAGCACAGAGTGACAAGTGCTTTCACCAACACACAGCCAACATCTTTTCTTGATTAAATCATGTAGCTTTCACAAAGCAATACAGTGATTTTATAGTGCAATATATTATGTCACCTTGTCATTGTCACTGATACAGTAAATTATGGAGGTTATAAATATTGTTTATAGGAGTAGAATCACCCGTTCCTCCCATACATGGAGTTTCTCTACTAATTAAGTTTGGCGGTTCCAAATCAAAAGCTCTTAGGGTTAGTTTGACACTGTTACATGTCATGTCTTTTTGCATAAGCTAAGCAAGCAGGGTTAGTGTTTAGTAAAATTGCAAGACAGAAGGCATCTCCATATATTTTCTAAATAAAAGAACACAGCAGAAAAGACAGGATTAAAGAATGGGAGTATTTGGGACAAGTGGCATCGGGGTTGGAATCTAATTCCCTAGAAATCACAGACTTTGTACAAAAATGATGAAAAGGAATGATGTTGATACTTCAAAGTAAATTAAGGAGGCCAAGAATCAATCTCTCTCTCCCTTCTTCCCTTCTTCCCTTTCCTTCCTCCCTCCTTCAATCTTCCCCTTTCTTCCTCTCCCTCTCTCTTCCCCTCTCTTACTCCATTCTCTCACACCCTAAATTACCTATTAAAGATTTTGTGGCATCTTTACATTATTGCCTTAAAGCTGGTTCCCACTTGTTTATTCTGTTTATTTCAGTGAGTTTATTTTACTTTACTTAAAAAATATATTGGGCCATTGATATGGCTCTCAGAAAATAAAGGTGCTTGCTACCAGGCCTGATTAGCAATCTTCAGAACTCATGTGGTAAAATGAATGAGCCCACTCTGGCAAGTTGCTCTCTGGCTTCTACACACACTCCATGGCAGTGAGCATGCACACACACTCACACACAGCAGATTCAGCTTCTATCAACTTCAACTTTGAAGTAATCAAACTCATAGGAAGGGGGAAATTAGGGACCTGAGAGAAGGCACTGCTAACTTGAGAGACACACGTGACTTGAGAAGCTTGTGTATTTACTCAAAATAATGTAGGCCAATGAAAAATGGCCTCCCCATAATACTCTATGCTACGCGCACAACCTTCTACCTGTGAAAATAGGTGTAGGACTCCTTCCTTCTCATAAAAAGACTCTCTCCATTCTTACCTGGACTGTATGTGGATGTTTAATTTTATTTGGTTTCTGACCTGGGCTTTGTCACTGGGGCCAGACTGAGAAAATCTAAAAGCCTCTCTTCTGTCCTATCCATTTCACGTATGCAAATTTCTTCCTATCTGCTCCCTTTCACATCTCAGGCTCAAAAAATTATACATATTGAAATCAGCCCTCACATTATAAGCACCTAATAGATCTAGTGCTTGCTTTCCACCCACAACCTGGAAACGCATGCACACTTTCTCTGGGCTTTCATTTGTGTAACGTGGGTATCACTCCATAAAAATTGGGAAGATTATAGGAGGACTATGGAGAAAGATGCAAAAATATTTTACATAAACCAAGCAGTATGAGTAGTTAGCCTTATTGTGAATATTAGTGCCAGTGAGTAGCAACAGTGGTATTTCTATGATACCATCATTCTAGAAGCTCTATGTCAGTGGTCCCCACTCAAGAAAAACACTGAAAACAAAGCTACTATGTTATTTCCCACTCTCCTTCTACAATGTTCAAAGACTGTACAGATTCATACTGAGCTGTCTAGAAGTTTCCATTCACTAGTACCACTACTAGTATTTTTCACTTACTGGAAAATGCCAGGGTAAGCCACACTTTACCAATGTCATTGACACAAGCAAGTTACTGATTACACAGGCATAGCTAGTGTTCAGAATAAATGTGAATGTAATTCAATAATAGCCTGAGCCATCTGGTTTGTAAGAGGATGATCAACAATCATGAAAGGTCATGACCAGACACCTTCTCCACAAAGAGCTGTCAACTCATTCAGGCTAACTGGTCAAGCAGATTTATGTAGCACTCTCTATTACTCCAGAAGTATGGCATCTGGGTTTTTTAAATATCCACCTCACTGTTAAAGATCAAGTTCATTTATTCAGTCACTTATCATTCAAGAAAAATAACATCTATTGTTTTAACAATATGCCATCGCAGTAGTAGATACTGAGAATGACATAATACATTCTATAAATGACAAAAGTAATCTAATAGCCAAGAATCATGACATAAGAAATTCCAAAGTTACCAAGAAAGAAAATGATGAGAGGGAAACGCTGCTTTAAGTAGAATACTCACAGAATGTCTTGAGGAAGTGGCATTTAGTTTGAGAACAGAAGCATAGCAGTAAATGAGAGAGTTGAAGGGAGTGATAATGAGGAGGCCATATGCAAATTCCTGGTGGCCAAAGCCTGCAAAGACCATAGTCCAGGAAGAACTGGATGAATTTGCAAAAATAAAAGCACCTCTAGATTTGTATGGCATTTGGAAAGGAAGCTTGAAGTCACATCATGTAGCATATACATACACAATTAAAACTTGGAGTCTACATTATAAAAGGAAGCCATTATCAAGGTGGCTTAGAGGTTGGAAGTCACTCAATCTGATTTATACTTGTATAGGCATCATTGGTTCCAGTCACACCCTCCACTTACATCCTTGTCCATGCAAGAAAAAAAAATAGATGTGTTACAAGGAATTAGAAAAGCAACCATTGACCACTAACCAATGAGACTGGAGGATAAAATCCCCAACTTCCTCGCTTTCAAGTGGGAACATCTGCAGCATATTCCATGTTCAAGCTCTATGGGAAGACTCTACAATTTGAAGATGGCCTCCATTTGAGCTGTCTAATTGGGAAATTGTTGGAACATGTGGCTCTCAAGCCCTTGGAGGAGGTGACCATAGTGTAAGAACTTACTTCTGCTTAGAATTGTCATTGACTTAAAGTTGGGTTTTAGTTTAATCAGATCAGCTGCTGCTGCATTGGGCAGCAAAGATCTGTCCATCCATCCTGAATCCCAAGTAGGTTACAGATGACCAAACTTATAGACTGCTCACAAACAAGCGTGACTGGTTTGCCTTCAATTCCTGATCTATTTCCTTCCTTACCAGTGTTTCTCAAGTTCATCACTCAGACTTCTTACCTCAAAATCTTTGTATCAAGATCCTCCTATGACATAAAGTTTTTAAAAAGCCAAATGGAGATGAAATTGAAGAGTACACAAACAAACGGAACTGAGGTTATCAGTGTTTAGTTACATGCAGGACATATTTACCATATCTGAGCCTGAAGACTGAACAATGAATACTGCTGGTCCTTTTATAGAGGGATTAATGCTTTGATTCAGGTTACCTCAGCCAATTGCTAAAGACATATAGATAACAAACAAGTACATGTGGGCCTGTAGTGAATGTTCTATCTGGAAAGTGCTTGTTTTATAAGCATTAGGACCTGAGTTCAATTTCCCAAACTTGTGTAAAAAGTGGGTGTGGTGATACACGCTTGTGATTACAGTGCTGGAGAGGCAGAGGCAGGAGAATGTCTAAGAACCTCTGTTCAACCAGCCTAGCCTAAAAATCTTGATCCCCCAGGTACCAACGAAAAACTCTGTCTCAAAGAATATGGTGGAGGGTTCCTGTGCAGTGCCTCAGAGACAGCCATGGTGATAAAGATTTGACTTCCTTTTATTTATTCTGTTCCCATAGTACCCAGATTCATTGGCAATGAACTAAGTTGAAATTGAATTACTAATGAAAAGGTCTGCAATTATCATATTGTTCTCTCAAATGCTAAAGTAAGCTGAACATAGTGATACATGCCTCTAATTCCAGCATTTGGGAAGCTAAAGCAGATTGGATCACAAGATCAAGCTCGGCCTGGGACAATATCAAGGCCCTGCCTTAGGAAAAAAATGCATTTGGGTCCTGACATCAGAGTCACTTAAAACCATGCAATTGGCTCATTGATTGGCAAGCAACAAAAGCCAGTGCTAACAATAGGAATATGGTGAGTTAGCTCAAGTACCAGTTTAGGACTTTTAAAGATCTGGACAAACAATTCCTTAAGTCATCAAGAAACACCATGTGAGTGACAGCACCTCTAAGAATCCAGTCAGGAGGTTGCTTTCTCCCCATGGCATTCTTTACAGAAGTACTAGGAGCAAACCCCCAAAAACTTTTTATATCTCTGCTCAAAGCAAGAAAAACAAAGAAAGGGTAAATGTCTGCCTGAATCTGGTCTTGTGTGGGCAGCAGAGAACTTAGGTTTCTCTCAGGCTGCTACTGTTCCTGCTTTCTATGTCAATAAAATTATCTTCAGGCTAAAATACCTGGAAGGAATACTGTAAAGAAAGAAATATACCCAGATATACCCAGGATGGGGAAAGAGATTTGTAAGATTGCAGCCAGTTCTCCTCTGTCACTCAACCACCCCCACCTGGGTACAGTGCTGAGGGAAGGCAGACAGGAGTGCTTTGTTCTGTGGGTAACTATGTGCAAATATTCCCACCAAAGCTGATTCCAAGCTGTGAATATGGAGTTGAGGGATGATGCATGTTGCTCACTTCTAGGGTCATGGAAAGAGTATCTGGTTCATCATTGCCTGCCGGGGGGAAATTAGACTCTTCATTCTTCATGCCAAAAGAAAGAATTTACCCAACTATTACTACACCAGTGTACAGGAAATTCTGAACTTGCTGGGAGAGATACCAAGAATTAAAATTAATATGGTTACTGTTGTCAAAAAGACATAGGTCCTAAAACCTAAAATCCAGAGACTGAGAGATCAAACCAGAGCAAAAGTCTAGAGTCAATTGTGAATAATTAGGGAAATAGTAATCTATAATTTGGTTTCATAAAAAGAAAATCACATCCAATACCATTTTCATTGACCTTGTTTGAAATTAGTTTAAAGTATTAAAAGTAAATAATGAACCTAACTCTAAATTTAGCAAGATATAACCCGAGACCCAGGATTTCCAAATTCTGTATGTCTCTTACACTAAATCTTGCTTTTTTAAAAATAAAGTTTTATTATAACACAATTGCTTGTTAACAAATCAGCCCTGTGTTACAACAGCAACTGAACAGTTGTGACAGCTCTGAAAGCCTGGAATACTTACTGTATGATCCAATATAAGGAAATATTTTAGACAACTGGTCTACCATGGAGAGGGCTGAATGATAAGAACAAACATATGGGCTCACAGCCAAGGTGACAGTCTTATTCTAGTGTTTCTAATACATGCACAACAATATCTTGGAAAATGGTTTTCAGTAACTACATTTTGAGTTCTGTGTTTTATTATCAGGCATGTGAAGAAGAGGTTTATTTTTTGTATGCAGACTGCCTTTGCATATGATTGTCAGTCTAAACAGTCATTGACTATCTTCCATGATTAAAGCAACTCAAGCAAATAGACAGATACTCCAAAGATGTTGTGACGAGTATGAAAAATAGAAAGGTATTTGTTTAGATTCTCTCTGAAAATGGATAAATGGGTTAGGAATGAGAGCTACATGCAAGCATTTAAAGCTCTGTCATTAAGAAAAGGAATTATATTCAGTTCTGAAGAGTACATGGAAATTTTCAGCTAAACATGCTTTGTTCACTGTAACAACAAAGTACCAGCAGGCTTCCTCCAGGGGTTGTGAGCATCTTGTCATGACTGGTATTGAAACATTGCCTAGGAG